CCGGGGCGGAAAACGTGACCCAGGCTTTATATGAGGTCATTTAATCCTCTCGTGACCATGACAAGGCTCGCAGCGGGAACAATTGAAGCCGCGTTTTCGTCTCTCGCGAACTGAAAGACTGAAGTCACAAGGCAGCCAACTGAAGGGAGCGAATGCCGGTGGTTTGCAATGCTCTTTTGTGCGCTTTTGATTCGCTGATATCATTCCCCTCCGCCATGAAGTCTTAAACTTGTGTATAAGAGAGGAAGCGCAAACACTCGTTATATAAGAAAAAGGTTTTATATATATATATATATATATATATATATATATATATATATATATATATATATGTGTGTGTGTGTGTGTGTGTGTGTGTGTGTGTGTGTGTGTGTGTGTGTGTGTGTGTGTGTGTGTGTGTGTGTGTGTATATTATATATATATATATATATATATATATATATATATATATATATATATATATATATATATATATATATATATATATACATATATGTATTATATATATATATATATATATATAATATATATATATATATATATATATATATATATATATATATATATATATATATATATATATATATATATATATATATATATATATATATATATATATATATATATATATATATATATATATATATATATATATATATATATATATATACATATATATATGAGAGGCTGATAATATATTCATAATAGATAAACAGATAGATAGATAAATAAATATATATATGGATATATTGATAGATGGATGGATAGATATGTCTAAACAGAGACTGATTAAATTTATAGATAAACAGATACATACAACTGCGTGTGTGTGTGTGTGTGTGTGCGTCCGCGCGCGTGTTTGCATGTGCAGTATGAATTCACTATATACACAACACAAAAGAAGGATAGAGCAGAAAAGAATAGGAATCACATCATCTCCAGCAGTCTTACCAACGTCTCCAACCTGCACACCGAAGACAGGACTGCCAACACTACCCAGGTCAGTATTCACAATTTCCTGGATGACTAATAAACCAGGCGTATCTACCTATTTAAAAAATGCGATCTCTATAGTTAGTCCGATATAAAGTAAAATTATATAAACAAATATACTAACAATTATTATGTGAAAGATTGCCCTAATACCGCTACAAAAATACTTAAATCTTCTCTCCTGTTAGATATTATTTCCACTTTCTTCTTGGCAAAGTCGTATGTATATTTACTTATACCTGATATACAAATTTAAATCGATCTCACTCAACAGCTGAATAATACACGACACTATAGTAAACCAAATCCAGCGCCATGTAAAGTAATAATAATAGTAAAGCATTAAAATTTCCGGACCCCCTAAAAAATGACTCTCCTGAAAAAAACGGTTATATTTAGATATACTTATAGAATATATTGAAGGACTTCGCAAGGAACCAGGGCCATCCTTTACTAATAGCAATTATAGTACTGTGTTCAAGTTGCTTTCTGCCATGCATTATTATCATCATTATGATTTATTAGTCAATTAACCCAATGTGATTACTGACACAATTAACTTCAAGAAAGCGTAATATCTAAGGAAGAATCAAGAATCGAATTTCTCTGGATGAGCCAACTATTGTCGGACTTTTCCTATCATGGCTTTAATGATAATGATAGTAACAACAATAGCGAAAATATGACGATAAAATTGATAATGATAATGATAAAGAAAAATATTGTAGTAGCAGCAGTATCATTATGAGCAACAGCAGCACCGGTAGTGATAATGGTAGTAGTATTGATGAAAATAATAACAACAATTATAATGATGATGATAACAATAATGATGATAGTAATGATAACGATGATAATTATAATAATGATAGTAATAATAATGATAATAATGATAGTATTAATAATGATAATAATAGTGATTTGATAACGATGATATTAATGATGATATTGATAACAAAAACAAAAATAATGATGACGATAATGATGATAGCAATAATAATAATAGTAATAATTATGATGATAATAATGATGATCATCTTTATATTAATAATGATAATGATTATAGTGATAACAGCATCAGTAACAACAATGATAATGATAATGGTAATGATAATGATAATGATTAGGATATTGATGATGATTATGAAGATGAGAATAATGATAACAATAATAGTAATGATGATAATAATAAGGATGATGATCATGATAATAAAGTCAATAACATTAATAACAGTAACAACAATGATAACAACTAATAACAATAAGCGCAACAATAATAATAACAATAACAAGAAAGATGGAATAAGAAGCGGTATGAACATAAGCCAGAGGGGGTATCTTCCCTTCCCTCTCCTTTTCCCTCCTCCCTCCCTTTACCTTCCCCCCCCCCCCTTTTCCGTCCGTGATCGGTTGATAGAGACAAAGTAGAAGGCATTGTGTTTACAGAGAAAAAGGGAAGAAGGAGATAAAAATTATAGATATTGCAAATCCAGGCGATAAAGGCTCAGGAACAAGGATTTAGGAAAATAAGAGATAAATATATATGTTAAAAGGGGAGGGAGGGAGATTGAGGATTATGGATAATGACAATAACAATGATGAAGATAATGAAAGCAATAATGATGATGAATGTAGCTTAATGCCAAGTTAGAAGTAGATTGAGAAAATGCGCTTCTTGGAACAGCAAGATTCTAGATAAAAGCTCAGTTTGCAGAGAGAGAATATGATAATGAGGAGATAACAATAAGAAGAATAAAAGTAAAAGTAAAGATGATAACAATAATGATGAGATACTAATAATAACTATATAATTGTTATCTTGATAATAATAATGATGATAATAACAATAATAGTAACAATAACTGTAATAATTATTATAATAGTAATGGTAATAAAGATTATCATAATAATAAACATGATGATAATAATGATAAAGGTGATAATAACAACGATGATAATGATAGTGATACTAATGATAATGATGAAGATGATAATAACAACGATGATAATGATACTGATACTACTAATAATGATAATAATGATGATAATGATAATAGTACTAGTAATAATAATGATAATAATGATAATAATAATTCTAATGATAACAACAATAACAACACCAATGATGGTAATATCAATAATTATAATACTAATAGTAATACTGATAATAATTATAGTAATAACTGTAATGATAAAAGTAATGGTAATAATGATGATAATAGTAAGGATAATTAAACTAACGAAGGTATACAGATAATGATTATAGTAATAACACAACTATTACTAATAATCATAATAACAATAATAACGTTAATGATGATAGCGAAAACAACAATAATCAAAGTTGATGATAATGGCATTGATAATGATGATGGTGATGAGGATGATGATAGCGATGGCGTTGATGAAGGTGATTATGATGATAAGAGTAATGATAGCAATAAGATAATGATGATAAAAATAATGATAATGATAATAAAAGTAATGATAATGATGATAATAACAACAATAGTAACAATAACAGCAACAACAATAATAATATTAGTAATAAGAATAATAACAGCAATAATAATGATGATGATAATGATAATGATGATAAGAGTGATAATAATAATGATGATAAGAGTAATAATGATAATGAAAATAATGATGATGATAATAACAATATCACTGATAGTGGAAATAGTATTAACAATGATGATAATAATAAAGGTATTAACAATAATAATGATAAGAGCAATGATGATAATGGCAATGGATGTAGTAATAATGATATAATACTAATGCTAAAAGATAGTAATACTAATGATGGTATTAGTAATAATAATGATGGTGATGGTAAGAATGGTAATATTGAACAATACTGATGTTAGGAATTATATTTTTTCAATAACATACTGGCATAGCATCTGAGTGTATTTACTTTAGTGAGGGAAATGTGCGCTATGGTGAACAAAATCATATATCGAAATGACCTCCCCTCCCCCTTATTAACTCATTCTCTCTGCCCCCCCTCTCTTTCTCTTTCTCTCTCTTCTCTCTGTCTCTCTCTCTCTCTCTCTCTCTCTCTCTCCTCTCTCTCTCTCTCTCTCTCTCTCGTCTCTCTCTCTCTAATATATTATCTCTTTCTCTCTCTCTTCTCTCTCTCTCTCTCTCTCTCTCTCTCTCTCTCTCTCTCTCTCTCTCGTCTCTCTCTCTCTCTCTCTCTCTCTCTCTTTCTCTTTCTCTCTTCTCTCTCCTCCTCCCTCCCATCTCTCTCTCTCTCTCTCTCTCTCTCTCTCTTTCTCTCCTCTCTCCCTCTCTCGTCTCTCTCTCTCTCTCTCTCTCTCTCTCTCTCTCTCTCTCTCTCTCTCTCCTCTCTCTCTCTCTCTCTCTCTCTCTTCTCTCTCCTCTCGATTTCTTTCTTTCGAAGTCCCTGATCATGCACTAGTTATTAGTCTCAGGTTGTTGCAAAAGAAGCTCTGAATGTGGTGGAGGAAAGAACAGTCACGCTGCACTTATACAAAAGAAAAAGAAAAGAACACGCACACCAGCGCTTTTGTCAGCTACCAGGATGTTGTGTGCACTGACAATGATTTTAATAATGATAATGATGACGATGACATTAATGCAGATATTCAGAATCAGCAGAATAGTGTCCAATGTACTTTTTTTGCAATATGTTGTCAGCGATTAAGAAAAAAAAGTTGTGATATTTCTTTGGTAATAAAAATGACAGTAATAAAAATGAAAAGCCTTATTTACAATAAATTATGATAATAATATAATAATGATAATGATGATAATAGTAATAACAATAATGGTGATAGTAATGACAATAATGATACTAATAATAACAATGATAAGCAGTGATAATACTATCTATAAGAATGATGATGATAATAGTAATGATAATGATGATAAAACAATATCAATAATAGTAGTGATGCTAATAATGATAATAATGATAATGATAATAATAATGATAACAATAATAGTAATAATAATGATAGCATCAACATTGATTA